ACAACCATGATGATGACTCGGGTGACTTGAGTTTTTCATTAGTAACGTTCTTCTGAATTGTATTAATAATTTCTTCTTTCGGAAGATCGAGTTCTTTGCATACTGTCTCGTTTAGTTCAATGTGACCGTCATCATCCGCTGCAGAAGTAATAGCTTCGCAGACCTCGGGAGTTACACGCTCTTGAGTAATGACAAATGCGGCTTCCTTGTCCTTTTGATCTGGCTCTTTATCATCTGAAATGATGTCCTCTATATGTTTATCGAGAATAAGAGTCTGGGTTGTCTTATAGTGCTTGACGATTGGTTCATCTTTATTTGCTTTTTCAGTTATTTTATCGACTACATATTTATCCGCACATTCTTCAAGTTCTTTTTCGGCATCAGCATCGCCTACTTTTTTAGAAATATATTCGCAAGCTTTATCATATTGTTCTTTCCAATGGTCTTTATGTTTAGGTGCGATCTTTTTAAGATAGGAAAGAACAATAGCAGTTGAAAATAATGACGGGAATTCGGATGATTTAAGCTTCTCGTGAGTGACATTCTTTTGGATCGTAGGGATAATTTCTTCTTTAGGAACATCTAATTCATCGCATACTGTATCATCTAATTCAATGGAACCATCCTCTTTTTGATTAGATACAATGTCCTTACACTTGTCAGGAGAAGCTGCTTCTTGAGCAGTACAAAGAGCTTCTTCTTCGCTAATGGTGGGTGCATCACTATAAATTTCGGGGACGAAAGGAGCTTTAGTCTTAGGGGCAATTATATCCTTATAATAGTCCTCAATCGCTTTATCCGTTGCTTTATCGACTACATAATTATCAGCACATTCTAACAGTTCTTTTTCAGCATCAGAATCTCCAATTTGTTTAGAAAGATAATCACGAGCCTTATTATATTTATCTACCCAATCGCCTTTATATTTAGACGCTGCATTTTTTAGATACGAGAGATTAACGGCAGTTTCAAGCACTGATTGGAGCTGTGGCAATTGAAGTTTTGGATTAGTAATGTTATTTTTAATTGTAGTAATCACATTTTCCTTAGTAACGCCCAGGTCATTGCATACTGAGTCATATAATTGAATGCTGCCATCATCATTTTGTTTAGATACAATTTCTTTATGTTTGTCAGGAGAAGTTGATTCTTGAATAACAGCAATTGCAGCTGCTTTCTTATGATCTTTTTCAACCTTTTTAGCAATGTTATCAACGAGATATTGATCTGTGCAATCTAATAACTCTTTTTCAGTATCAGAATCTTTAATCTCTTTAGTGAGATATTCATGAGCTTTCTTAGATTTATCTTCCCATTGATTTTTATAATGTGGTGCAGCGACATTAAGGAAGCTAATAGCAAGTGCTGTTTTCCACCATGGTTCTGATTTTGGAGATCTAAGTTTTGGATTTTGTGTACATTCTGTCACTTCATTTACTACATCGGTAGCTGGAACGTCTATCTCTTTACAAATTGTCTCATTAACTTCAAAAGATCCATCATTCTTTTGATTAGACACTATGTCATCGCATTTTTCTGGTGTGGTAGACTCTTGCAATGTAATGACTGCGTTTCTCTTTTTATCTTTAATCACCTTCTTAATACAATTATCAACTACATAATCGTCCGTGCAGTCTAAAAGTTCTTTTTCGGCATCTTCATCTCCTATTTGGTCTGAGAGATATTTACGCGCTTTATCATGTTTATCTTTCCATACACCTTCATGTTTAAGTGCAGCTTTTTTAAGGTATGAAAGGTTAATAGCAGTTGCAAGAATTGATGGAAGATTGGGTAATTGAAGCTTCTTATTTGTAAGCTTTGGTTGAATTGTTGTAATAATTTCTTCCTTAAGTGTATCCAATTCATCACAAACTGTGTCACTTAATTCAATACAACCATCATCTTTTTGATCTGCGACGATTTCTTTGCATTTCTCAGGTAAGGCAGATTCCTCAACGATTATGAGTGCTTCTGCTTTCTCATGATCATCAAGTTTATCTTTATTAAACCCAAGGGCTTTTTCAATTTGATCGTCAAGTTTAACAGCTCCTTCATAAAGAGAGCCGAAAAAATTTTTAGCCTTAGCTTTAGGGTTTTCTTCTTTCGATATTTCATCTTTCTTCATGGCGATTACTTTCTTTTTTTGTTCCTCAATCACTTTATTTGTAACTTTATCAACTACATACTCATCAGTACAATCCAATAATTCTTTTTCTGCATCAACATCTCCAATTTTTTTAGAAAGATAGTTACGAGCATTATTATATTTGTCTATCCATTCACCTTTGTATTTAGATGCAGCATTAGTCAGATATGAAAGGTTAATAGCGGTTGCAAGACTTGATGAAAACTCGGGTAATTTTAGTTTCGGATTAGTAATGTTCTCTTTAATTTTATCAATAATTTCTTTTTTGGGAGCATGCAATTCCTTACATATTAAATCATCAATTTCAATGCTGCCATCGTCTTTTTGTTTAGATACAATTTCTTTATGTTTATCAGGAGAAGCTTCATCTTGAACAACAGCAATTGCAGCTTTTTTCTTATGATCTTTTTCAATCTTTTTAGCAATGTTATCAATGATATATTTATCAGTGCAATCTAACAATTCTTTTTCAGCATCAGCATCTCTAATTTGATCAGAAAGGTATTTACGAGCTTTATCATGTTTATCTTCCCATTGTTTTTTATGATGTGGTGAGGTGATATTAAGATAGCTAATAGTAAGTGCTGTTTTCCACCATGGTTCTGATTTTGGAGATCTAAGTTTTGGAATTTGTGCACATTTTTTCACTTCAGTAACTACATTGGTAACTGGAACGTTTATGTCTTTACAAATTGTTTCGCTAACTTCAAAAGATCCGTTATCATTTTGATTAGACACTATGTCATCGCACTTCTCTGGTGTGGTAGACTCCTGCACCGTAATGACTGCGTTTCTCTTTTTATCTTTAATCACCTTCTTAATACAATTATCAACTACATAATCGTCCGTGCAGTCTAAAAGTTCTTTTTCGGCATCTTCATCTCCTATTTGGTCTGAGAGATATTTACGCGCTTTATCATGTTTAACTTTCCATACACCTTCATGTTTAGGTGCAGCTTTCTTAAGGTACGAAAGGTTAATTGCAGTTGCAAGAATTGATGGTAGATTGAGTAATTGAAGCTTCTTATTTGTAAGCTTCGGTTGAATTGTTGTAATAATTTCTTCCTTAGGTGCATCCAGCTCATCACAAACTGTATCACTTAATTCAATACAACCATCATTTTTTTGATCTGCGACGATTTCATTGCATTTCTCAAGTGAGGCTGATTCTTCAACGACTATGAGTGCTTCTGCTTTCTCATGATCATCAGGTTCTTTATCTTTCTTAAATCTAAGGGCTTTTTCAAATAAATCTAAAAAAAAAAGCGAAGCACAAAATAAAAGATTAAATAGAGAAATTCATTGTTAAAAATTAAACTTCAATTACCACATTCTGGTGAGGATATGTTGATATCTATTTAATTGAAATTTTTTTTCGAAATAAATTACCAAGTATAAAAATATGAAATAAAGAAATTATCATTAGACATTTAAAATTTATTACCATATCCTAGAACGACTGAGGTAATCAGCTTGGAACCTATCGCTATTTAATTAATAATTTTTTGCAAATAAATTATGAATCACAAATGAAAAGTATGAAATAGAAAATTATTACAAATTAAAAATCATTACCATATATTGGTGAGGATGCGCGTGAATTAGAACCTAATTATTTGAAATTTTTTTGCAAAATAAATTAATGTCTTTTTGGAACTTTAGCTATTCTTTACACCGTCTTGCAGGAAAATCTTCCTGCAAATGGTCACAAGTTGTGACTGGTATATTGAACTATATTGTTGCATATTTCAAGCTTCGCAATGATAGCGAGACAGTTTAAAGAATAAGAATATAACTAAATTTACAAGCATCATTCTACTCTCTATAAGATTATAAGCATTAAAATTTAAATTTTACCATAGTCTAAGGGTAAATCAGAATCTATTTAATTATCAATATTTTGCGAAATAAGTGTACAAAAATTATATAAATTAATTCCTTTAAATTTAATTCGTGATTCGCCAGAGAAACTTACTATTGTTTTTTGCCTTTTTTAGAATCTAGAGCCTCCCCAAGGATATACGATCTTTTTTTTACTAAGTATATCTCTCTTCTAATAAAAGTTGTAGAGAAAAGAATTTCAGTCATTATGGTGGTTAAATCATTAAAATCGACCCGGTGAATCACGAGATATGAACGTTTTTGTCTTCACGACTATATGTTTACCTCTTTGTTTATTCAAAGAAGCAGACATATAGTCGTGAAGACAAAAACGCCCATATCTCGTGGTCCACCAGGCCGATTTTACTGATTTAACCACAGATATGGCCGAAATTCTCCCCTTCACAGCTTTTATTAAAACCAGAAAAGAAGTATACTTAGTAAAGAAAACGTGTATCCTCTAGATTCCAAAAAAAGGAAAAAAACACAGTAAATATATCTTCACGGTTTACTATGCTTTTTCACTGGTTCCCTGCCGAATCACAAATCAACTATTATCAAATGATGAATTACCTATTTACCTATTTGCGGTACAGAACTCAAAGTAATAATACCGGGAAGCTGTTTTATATCCTTAATCATATTTTCTATCCATTCTATCAATTGTGACGAATTTGGCCTTTCTGATGGTTCTGAATCCCAACATTTTTCCATTATCATTTTATAGGTTTCTGGAGTCCCGTCTACAATATCTGGACGAAGTCCACCGAGAGCGATCTTCTTAGCCAAATCTAAATCATGAGATTGGTTCGAAAATGGTCGACTACAAGATGTTAAATCCCACATAATTATGCCAAAACTATAGATGTCTGATTGTTTTGTATACGGCCCGCCACTTAAAACTTCTGGTGCAATGTAAGGTAAAACACCAATAATGTCCTTAGACCCTATAAAGAAAAATCTATTCAGTATAATAATAAAATTAAGTAGTTTCAGTTTATAAATAAAAGAATACTTGATGGTGAGTCTGCGAAACTTGAAAACTCAAAGTCACTAATAAATACTTTCATATCATTGTCAATGAGGATATTTCCGCAATGAAAGTCTCGATGAACTATATTTAATTCATGAAGTGCATTTAAAGATTTTGCGATATTAAAAAGGATCTCTATTTTATTTATACATGCGAGATTAGGTTGATCAATATATCTCCTAAGATCACCGTGAAACGCGTGCTTCAATACCATCGCATACCCTCGCATATGCTCCGTTAAACCATAGAAGGGTATAGCACATTTTCCCAAACATTTATAGTGTATAACGAACTATAGAAAGTGATTTAAAATAAGTAATAATTAACTATTGGGTATTTGTGTATGACAATGTATAATCGAATTATTGATTCTTATAATTACTTCATTAAGAAATTCTGGTCTAAAATTTTTAGATTCCCTCAAAACTTTAAGGACAATATCAACATTCGTTGATTCCTTATGATCAACAACTTCACTTTGTTTTAATGGTTCCCATTTACCAATAAATACTTCTGAATTAAGCCCTTTTGCAATTGGAGTCTTATCTATATTAATATCCGAAAAAGGTATCCACTCAATAAAATCGTCACAATGTTGTTTTCTCTCCACTGTATTTTGAATAAACGTGTCGATATAATCGTTCCCACATGATAAAGATGGTTGTCTAGAAAGTGAATTAGATCTACATAATTTTTTTGGATAGCTGATCACCTTTCGACCACAATGATTACATGTTGGATCCATCTTTTCAGAAAGATCATCGTTACTAAGAAATTTTAGCACGCCTCTTATGTCTTATGCTGGTTAACTATTTACCTCCCCAGATTTTCCCGACTATGCAGATTTATATTACTGGGTCCCAAATTATATTCTATGATTGATTCTGAAATATGTATATATATAAAGTATATATTATTACGCAAAATTATTTTGTATCGATTATTAAAATTTCGCAGAAAAACTTTTGTTCGTGCGTAAAAAGAGTGAATTTGAGTTATGAGCGGTTTTTTTTATTTGGTTCTTAATTATTTTGTGTTACACCTAAAGTATTAGTGGAAAATCGCCTCATAATAAATGGTCGTCGAAATTTATTGAAATTCACTCGTACGTAGAAATATAAGTAACGATAATCTGGAAATGAATTTTTTTTGAATTTCGACTAACATTAGTTACACTTGATCTTGAAGTTTGATTGGCCAGCGATGTACTCAAACTAACATTTTAATAGCTATAAAAAATATTTGCAATTAATTAAACATTAAAATATTATTTAAGTTACAGCAATAAGAACCTCTTCCAGATACCAAATTACAAAAATAATATTTATGAAGGATATGAAAAATTCAATCCCGAAATTGCAAAAATGCTATATATATTAGAAATTTCGTGTAACATAAAAATTTGCAAAAATCATAAACTCTTTCTATAATGAGCTGACGGTTTTGAAGTTCGTTATAGAAATTACCATGTTTTCTTAAGGACCCATGCATTTTCCATACCGAACTGTTACAAAACTTTAAATTTTGAGTTCGTTATCATCGCTTTTACCCCACGCTATATATACACAATTATCTACAATATACGTATCAGATATATGTTATGCGTCATTTTTAAATCGTTCGATTATTTTTTGTACCAGCATCGTTTCAAATAACGCCTCAAGACATCATTTTAGAACGCACAGCTCAAAGAGAATTACAACTGTTCTCATAAATTTTGGGACATCAGTAAAAAAATTGACCGAATTTGATGATCCATGATCCACCAATCAGATCTCAAGAATCGGGTGTAATGTAAGGGCATAAAATGAAAATAATTATAGATAGATACCCAATATTTGAAAATTATTACAAATAAAGACCCATATATCATCAAGATTTCTAGTCGATTTTATCATAACGGGTATCATGGTTAATTGTCTTATTTCGTGATTAAATAGGTGTTTTAGAGTTTTGTTTATTATCTAGAGTTACAGCCAGACCTCTCTATAGTCACTTCCTCTATAATCTCATTTGTTTATAATTACAAGCTTTTAAAACCAACTCATATAATGCATATAAAATTTAACCATTATATAAGCACAAAATTCTTGAAACCAAGAATGTGATTATAGAGAGTTTGACTGTAAAAAAAACAAACAGAAAAAAATTCCGCCGAATGACTGGATTTTTGAAATTCATGTAATGCAAAATGAAAAATTAGCTTTGTGTGACCTAACGTGTTTACTTCTTCAAGCTATATGTATGATGTCTCTGTCCCCACTTTCAAAACGAACACGATTTTCAATATCACAAGGTCAAAGTATTGCTATATAACTTAGAATTCAACAGAATAACCGAATGAACATTTTCCAAGTTTGTAAAAGTCATACCCATCTGTAACTTTGTATCTAACATTTATGAACAGGTTTTAAGAAATATATATAAGAATTTCAGTGAAATAAATTTACAGCGTGAATAATGGGTTGACGAATCGAATGTACTTTTTTCATTGTGCATTGGAATTTATATTCGAATTCCTAATTGATTATTATTAACAATCAATTATTATATTACGATCATATTAAATTATCGAAACAGGGCTAAATCATAAGTTTTTAAGCGTATAATTATTTTAGGCTCTTATTTGAATTTTTCCTTGAGTGATCTTACTAAATAATCACCTATTCTCTAACTTTATTCTAAAAACACTAACCTTAAATGTTAATACCTTAAATGTTAACAGTTAATGAATTTTAAGTTACGTATGCTACAGTGATCGAGAGTGCTTGTTTATGTTAGGCTAATTAATTTTGCCCCCCCCCCCCTCTAATTTTTTTAAAAAATAATCCTAATCTTAAATTGATTCACAATATATTGTTCAATTCATATAAAGAATCTTAAAAAGTATTAAACTCACTCATTCAACCCTCAAAAATTTCTCACTATTTAGTGTATATTTATATTCGACATTACCAAATCTTTCATATCGATATGTCGTAGCTGAAATTAGACCTGCTTGAAGTTGTGACTTTAAGTACCTGAATTATAACTGCCTAAAATTACCAACTAATACAACTTCAGGAAATGTCAACTTCAGATACGACAATTTTGCTATCATAACTTGTCTAGAAATAAAATTTTGATTTCCCATTATATTTCAATTCTATAGTGTCAGTATTATAACTGGACTTGTAGTTAACTTGGAAAAATATTATCAAAATTTCCAGTTTATTATTATGGGTTATTAATAGAATTTGGCTATTCTTCGGTCCAGCAATCAAGATTTATTAGAATATTTAACGAATGATTAATGTTATTCGAATAAACACTATTTATTGAATTGAAAAATTTTCTTGATACTGAAAGTTATCAACATTCACCTCTATGTTTACTATGAATTTCAGGGTTAGGATACAGTTATAGACCGAGATAGAAGTCAGATAAAAAAAAAGTCTAAATTTTAGTTAGCATAAGGCTTTTGGGAATTTTAACATTTTTACTTAGTACATCCGACACCAATTTTCCTAGACAGTTTTTGAGATATAGCACTCCAATATTGAACGCCCCGGTATCAATTATATATAGTTATTCAAATAAATTTGCCTATGCGATATTTGATTATCCAAATTATTCACTTCTGGGAGTTGGGACACAAACTCTTTTATTAATAATACTATCCTTAAATCTTAACCTAATTTTTAAAAAAAAGCCTCCAAGCATATAAAATTTTATGTTACAATAAGTTAAAATCTCAGCACAAGCAAAAATCTCAGCTTAAACCGTCACAATTATTTTATTTATTTGAATAAGAATATTATTCATCAAATAAAAAATACGAATCTAGTGATGATCATCGGATGGTCACGGTTAGAGATGTATCGTGCGATATGACAAAGCTATCGCACCCGTGATCTTGCGCGACTTTCGCGAGATAATATAATATCTCGCGTGAGATAAACTATTCGATTAAAAAAATTTTTAATGAAATTTATTGTATATATTCTAAATGAATAAATTCTTATCACATAAGACTCGTGAACTCGCGCGAGAATGGTGAGGTACATCTCTAGTAACAGTAATTGAAAAAAGGCTATATTCTTAAGCATGCATTTTAGAGAGTAGACTTATTTATGTAAAAATTTGATTAACAGTTTACATCAGAAATACTCAACAAAAATACATAATGTTATTATTAGAAGTTTAATGTTAAATTTACAAGTATTTAAAGATCAACTTTAATTTTGTTTCTATTATTTCATGATGACAAAAATAATTTTATGGTAATTCTTCTTCATCAATTTTTTCATTAATTGTCTCATCTAATTTAGTTATCTCATTCAATTCAGTATCATGTCTTTTATCTTCAACCATCAAAGTAATCATAATGATAAGGCAAAAAATAGCATAAGCTAAATATAACCACATAAAAATCAAATTTGCTGCTCGAATCTTGCAGGCTGTTTCACTTATTTCAAGTTTGTAGTCATATTGACAATCAAATGGAATCGGATCAATTTCGTGTACTGTATATATGGTGTAAACAACTAGTTTTAAGACAAAAAAAAAAGGTACATGACAAAAGTTAAAGAAGTGGTGATTAGTAACTTGAAAGTTTTAAAATTTTAAAAGCTTACTTGGCAAAACAAACCAAGCTATCGATGTAATTATTGTTAAAGCTCTAGATAGATTCAAAAATATTGAATATTAAAAATTTATAAGAATAATACCTTCCAAAAAAAAAAGTGCATTGAAAATTGATATAATACCTGAAGTCTTTCATATTAAAAAGACAAAAACAGAATATTGCAAGAAAACTCATTGCTAAAAAATAAAAAATAAAATAGATTATATATATATGAGGAGCCCCACAGCAAAAGGTGATGGGTCAAGAAAAAGTTTTTGTAAAAACCTTATTTTTGCAAAAATTAGATCGTTTAGAACACAAAATTAAACAACTACAGAAAAATTTTTGTAACCCATCACCACCTTTTGCTGTGAGGCCTCCCATATATTTAATATTATCAAATACTTTACTCAAAATTCATATAAGAATGATGAAAAGTACGTACCTGCTGTTAAACAAGTAAGCACTATATATCTAAAAAAGAATCAATAAAATAATTTGATTTAAAAAAAAAGAAATATATTACTAATTCGTTAAAAATTATTTGGTTCTTACGAATATTCAACGCCTTTATTGTAGTTAAGTTCTCCATTAGTTTGATCAAACAGTATAACCTTTGCCAGTGCTATATTTGGAATAACATTATTTAATCTTTTGCTTATATTATTTATATTATACATAATACTAAGATCTGTTATTTACCAAGAGCCGGGCAAAGGAACGTGAGAATAAAAAGCTGTATGACCATTAGCGCCAAGCAATATGTTCTTACTTTCCCTTTTGCCATTTTATTGTGATGAATTTCTTTTCGAAATCGATTCAACCGCTGGTTTGAAACACTTTATTTTATATGAGTGTATCATTACACAATAACAATAACATTTCTATAATAATTTTTCATATAAAATATTTTGAGAAGTGCATTTCTTTAAAATCAGTTGCTCTTTCAAAAATACTGGATACAATATTAGGTCAATACGTATAGCTTCCTTATACTATGCAAGTATTCGCGAAAAGTCACACGATACGTTGGCTCTTCTCTTTAACTAAGAAATATCGGTATTGTATAAAAAGGAAAGTTAATCCCCTAAATGTCATATGGTGTTCATTGTTTTAAAGCTCGTGTAACGCAATCCATC